CCCACGCAGGCCTCCGGCAGCAGGTGTGGAGCCCCCGAGGGCTCCGGACCCGGAGGGACCGAGGGGCATGGACGGGAGCCGAGGTGAGTTTGCACCCGCCCTGGAGGCCTCCCAGGCCGATGGCGCTTTCCTGTTGGGCCTTGGTTTTCACCAAATCGAGGCCCCGGCCTTGAGCTGCAGCTGGCGGAGTGGGGCTGAGCTCCTCCTCCCTGCCCAGCGGAGACGCCCCCTTCTCTCTGCTCGCTCCCCGGAGCCCAGACCACCGCCCTCCACCCCCAGCGCTGGCTCCCCCGGGGGCCCCCCTGAGCGACCGGCCGGAGTTGGAGGCAGGTGTATCTACACTTTTCCTGGAAGAAGCCAGATGCTCAGGCCCGTGCCATGTGGTCACTGTACGCATTGTGTCCGCGCTAGGAAGGGGGAGCCCAGGCACCCGCTTTTGACCTAACAGAGAATTCAAAGTACTTATACCTTCGAACGTTTGCAACGTGGAATATTGTCTCCTAGACCACCGTTTGGGGTAAGACCGCCTGCCAGGGTGATGGGCCCCTCGCAGGCAGGGTGACCCCACAGCCACCAGGCGCCTCCGGCTGAGAGGACCCGCAGCAGCGATGGGTTGAGGACCGGAGCCGCACTGCGGGGTCAGGGGACAGTGCTGCCTCCAGATCTGGGGTAGTTACTCCCAGGAGCTCACAGCGCTGGAGTGTGTGAAGGCCCGATGCTGGGATCCGTCGGTGGGCACAGCGGGGCGATCGGGAAAGACAGATGGAGGGAGCTTTTTTCTTTTTTTTTTTTAAGTTTATTTTCAGAGAGGAAGGGAGAGGAAGAGAGAAATATCAATGATGAGAGAGAATTGATCAGCTGCCTCCTGCACGCCCCCTACTGGGGATTGAACCTACAATCCAGGCATGTGCCCCCAGCTGGGAATGGAACCATGACCTCCTGGTTCATAGTTCCATGCTCAAACACTGACTGCCACCAGGAGGGGGGTGGGGGACGGGGACAAGCGCCTGGCCTGTCGCTGGGACAGCCGGGTCCTGTTTGAACGTGTGGAACTGGGATGCTCTTAGATGGAATTAGGGAGCAGCAGTACTGGGTTTTCAGACGATGCAAGCGAGACCCTGGGCTGGCCCCCAGGGGTGAGTTAGCTCAGGTGACGTGCTGCCAGGAAGAGCTGTGCAGGGAGCAGCGAGTGGGTGCAGGGACGCCTCTCTGAGAAGGGCCCTCCAGCCCACCAGTGCCCGCTCTCAGGGCCTGTTTCCGGAAGCTGCCAGGCACCGGGACAGGAAGGACTGGGGCATGTTTGGGGACCTAAAGGAGGCTGGATGGATGGAGTGAGGGGTCGGCCATGAGGTGGGCCAGGGCCAGAGCGGGCAGGAGTGGGGTGTGAGTGAGGGAAGCCCGGGGGGGGGGGTTGGGCACTGGCTGCTGTGTGGCATGGATCTCGAGGGAGGGGAGGGCAGGGGCAGCCACCAGGGAGTCCATCCTAGGTCCATGCAGCTGAGAATCCAGGCTGAGGGGGTGGGCGGTGCCTTCCGGGAGGGGCTTCTGGCTCTTCCCCTTGTGCTCCAAAGGCATGTCCTCTGGTCCTGAATACAGGAAGCGGAGAGGACCCAGGAGCTCCAGCGTGGGGTCCGCAGAGTAGGCGTGGCCCATGGTGCCCGGCTGGGCCCCTGACAGGTGTGGGACCCGTCTCCTGCAGAAGGTTCCTTGGTTAGCAACTGAGCAGACGCCCTGCCATCTACAGCGATGAGGGAACCGGCCAGGGTGAGTGCGGGGTTCTGGGTCCAGTGTCTGGTCGTGTCCCTTTGAGATGCTGTTAGGTGGCCAGGTGGCTGTGCATGAGCAGGGGCGGGAAGGGGCGTCCTCAGGGCCCTCGCCCTAGCCCTGGGGAGAGCTGCGTCTTCATGGTGCTCAGCCCGGGGGCCGGTGCCCGTCCTTGTTGCAGGGCTGCGGCTGGAGCTCTCATTGCCGGGCAGGAAGAGGGCAGCGTGTGCCTAAGGCAGGGCCCGCGGAGGAAGGTTCCAGAGAAAGGCCTTGGTGA